CAATAAAGGGTTGTCATCTCACCTTAATATAGCCCACATAAGCTTGACACTTGACGACTTTCTAGCAAACGGAGTCTCAAATATTATATTAAAGGACTATATTTTTTATAACTAAAAATAAATTTTTATACAATCCTTTTTTAATTATGAAATACTATAAAAGGTTAAGTGAAATTGTAACAAAAAGCACTCCAGCTTGAATGGTTAGGAACTCAATTAAATTCCTAAGAGATCTTGGGTTCAAACTTCATGGTAGTATTCTTTTGGAAAAAAATTGCAAAAAAAAAGGTCCGATTCGACTGGCCGGTTTGTCCAAAAGGGTGACACATCAGATTTGCCAAATGTCGTGCCAGAGCTCCGCCAAATGTCATGCCATAGCTTCGCCAAATGTCTCTTCCTACAGCTCCGACTCTCCTTTATATATATAAAGGATTTTTGTGAAATTAAACTGTCAAATTCTGGTATTTAAGGACCGGACCAATACGTGGGCACGTGGCACTCCATAGAGAGAACAACGCTGACGCATCCGAACGTCTTCTCCGACTGTGGTTAATGAGAATAAACGGCGACGTCATTTTCTACATTCCAACGCGGCGGAAGCGGCGGCGGCGAAACCTCTCTCCCCTAATGTAAGCAGAAGCATATCTTCTCCGGTTGATCTCCGACCTCATTCTTCCCGCTAAGCACTCATTGCACCCTATTTTGTTTCACATGTGTGTGCGTATATATTGTGCGTGATTAGTTATCGCGATTCGTCTGTGAGTATATGTTGATGTGTCCAGTGTAATTTAGGGCTCATTGATTTTGCAATGTTGTATTTTGCTGTGTAGCATCCCAATTCCCAATGCTTTGAGCCGATTAATTTGCAATATGAGATAAAATTATCAACTTGTGTTTAAATTGGCATGTCAATGATGCACAGTGTAGAGCTGATTAGGTTTTGTGAAGCAGGCCAGGGTGTTTAACGAAACGTTGTAACGAAAGGTTACATCTTTGAGAGGATGCAACTCCTAGTGGCTGCTGACCCTACTGCCCAAAGCTATTGGTTGAGTTGGAGGGCTTTGCTCTGCGAAGCGTCGGTACTTTTTTCCATAGTTTTATCACTGTTCCTGATATGGAGATACGAATGCATAGCTAGGGACAAATCCGGGTCTGGTGAAGGGGAGAAGCGGAAAGACAAATCTTGGAGTATATGGTTTGATGAGTCTTGGAGACCGTCTGTGAAAGAATTGCACCCAGTTGTTTTGGCGGTATTCCGGTTAGTCGCATTCATTTTACTAGCTGCAGCACTCACTGCTGATGCCATTGTCCATGGTGGTGACCTTTTTCTCTATTACACTCAGTAAGTGATCTTGGCGTGCAAGGTTTTCTGTTCTTAGTATCAAGTATCAACTAACGGGTTCCTTGATGGTAGTTTTCATCTTATTATGCTCATTGAATTCTAGCTAAGGTGTTCGTAATGATCTATAAAGCATTAAAGTTGGATATTATCCTATATTTGCTGGATGGTGATTAATTATTTATTTACTCTGTATATGTTTTTGTCCTCTTTGCACAGGTGGACATTTATGTTGGTTACCATTTACTTCCTGGTATGTATCACGGTTCGTTTGCTGCGTTATTGGATCGTATTTATATAAGTTGTATTAAATTTACACATCTGCTTTAATGCATCTTCTAATTTCCATAAGAATTTTACATTTTTTGGTCTCTTTATGTTGCCATGTAGTTTGGATCACTGCTTTCTATTTACGGATGCTACCAGTACTATAAAACAACCAAGGGTGATTGTATATGTATGGATGAGGAGAAAAGTTTGCAGTTGGCTCTCTCTCATACACAATATCTGCAAGGGGTGAATACAGGGGACAATCGTGTCTTCCGGCGAGTACTTAGTGTTCCAAAAAGTGTGGGGCTTTTTGGTTACGTGTTTCAAATTTTATTTCAGGTATACCATTTAAATGCACTTATTGCAATTCCAAATCAGTTCATGGGTAAACAAATGTTTGATTTTCTTAACATTGTATCGCTTTTAAATGCAGATGACTGCTGGATCGGTGATGCTAACCGACTGTTTGTACTGGACCGTCATTTTCCCATTTCTTTCTATCAAAGATTACGACTTGAGCTTTGTAAGTATTTGCGATTGTTTTTTTGCTGTTTTTCTCTACAGCTTCAGGAGTTAAATGCTTGTAAATTATACCAAGCTGTGAGGATATCACAAATATCTGTATATATAAGTTATGTGTTTAATACTTGTTTATTTGCCTTGTTTTTGTTTTGGCTAGTTGACGGTGGTTGCCCATTCTCTTAATGCCATCCTGCTTCTCGGTGATATAACAATGAATTGTTTGGTAAAAAAACGATACTACCGATCAAGTTTATTCCCAAATATACTCGTTTAGTCTGTCTCATACTTTCTTGGATCATTTGTTTATTTAACAAATAATTAAACCTTGTTCCAGCAAACCCCTTGGTTCCGGATATCTTACTTTCTCCTATGGACTGGTACTTATGTCATCTTCCAGTGGTGTGTTCACGCGTTTGTGTCAACCTGGTAATGTTTCATTCACTTTTCTTTTCTTTTCGCAAAAACCGAATGTACTTTGCGCTTTTTTATGGGTGTCATCATTTTGACGAATGCAGGTGGCCATACCCATTTCTTGACATGTCTTTGAGGATAGCTCCCTTGTGGTAAGTTCTTTTGCGCTAGGTGTTCCCATCTTCTCTTCCTAGTTTTTCTTTTCTTTATTCTTTCTCGTTTCCTTCTTGCCATTTGCTTAGAGCTAATTATGGATTATCCGTATAACCCCTATGTGTTTTTTTTTTGTATAATAAATTAAGAATTGATTGAACTAATGGCAGGTATGTGGTGGTGGCTTTAATGCATATCCCTTGCTATGGGTTAGTTGTATTACTTGTTAAACTCAAGGGAATGGTGTTGTCCAAATGGTTCCACGAGTCGTGTTTACCTTAGGTATATGAGATCTTAAAACCACGCTGCAGATGCTTGTTACTTCTTACTTCATATTATAAACTGTTCCAGTGTTTTGCTTTCTTTAACCCCTGCAAAATGTGAATTGCCTGTTCACCCCAGTAACGCATTACTGTAAAAGGTAGTAGTTTATTTGGTATCATACTTGTGACTTTGTATAAAAAATGGTACCATAATAAATTTGCCAGATAGTTACTCCTTATGTGGATGCCTCACACATTCATGTCATCAACAAGTGGATGTCACACGAGAAATTTCAAAAAAAAACCAAATATAAATGTAAGTAGCACTTAGTCACTTTACAAGAATGAATAATATAAATGTCCTGCAAAAATACTCCCCTCTTTCACTGCTTTCATATTTTACAGTGCAGTTCTTACACTATATTTGGATACATCGGTCCCTTTACATGAATTTTAAGAAAACGAAAATTGTATAGTTTATCTCTTTTTTTGGAAGGTGTATAGTTGATCTTTATTCACATAAGTATTTATAACCATCTAATCATTTCTTTAAAAGAAAAGAAGAGAATAATTTGGAAACGTGTGAAAAAGAACCTGATTATTTGAAGGTCAAATTACCCTGAGTCAAAAGAAATATGGTGATTGGCATTATTAATACCTCAAGTGCCATATAAAAAGATTTTATTCAACCAATTCAAACACCAATAACAAATTTATCTTACATGTGAATGAAAAAACATGAGGTTTGATTCTTAAAAATTGTATGCATATACAAATGTATTACTCCGTATTAACCGTTTAATACTCAATCCATATTTAACTAACAAATGTGTATTAAATCTTAGTAAAAGTATGAAGTAACAATGGAGTAAGTATGTTTCTTCATCTCTCTAAGTGTGAATGAAATTCAAGAATTGCATTCATGGACAAGGCAACATATGTAGCAGTTCCTCAGAAGATCACAAGTATTTTCAATTTAGCCAAAAGAATGAAATATGAACCAATGAGCAATCTATGCAAGCGAGGGAGCAACAATCTTTGATCTGAGGTTATGGGCTACGGCGTCGATAAACTCTTCGGTGTTTAAGTACAACTCCCTTGAAACCCTGTGTGCACAAGAACACACATTTTATTCTTTCATATTCAACTTTTTCCTATTATATTAATCACTCACTTCGCGTGAAAATTTATGCTGCTCGCAACATAAAAAAAGTGAAAACAAATGTGAGGTTTAATTCATCAAGAAAAGAGAATGACAATATGAACAGCATGAACCTCTACGCATGGAAATGGGCAAGATAAATTGTATGTTGTGATGGGCAAAAAAAGAATACAGGCATTGTGAATTGGGATGGGAGTTTTATGTTAGCAGTAAGCATTTTAAAATGATTGTGCCTTTGTAACAGTTTTAAGGAGCTGCTACTTACTTGGGTCCATGAATCAACAGTGCAAGATCCTTGGTCATCTTTCCTGACTCTACTGTCTCTACACAAGCAGTCTCTAGTTTCTGAGCAAAATCCATGAGCTTCTTGTTCTCATCAAGTTCGGCCCTGGATGGGTACGAAAAGGAGCGCGAAATTAGATTTCACTTTTTTAAAAGACGGCTCTTCCAACTTTATGCATCTATTTAAACACAACTCAGCTAATGCTACGATAATAACTCATGAGGGATAACTACCGATGGCTTAGTCCTCTGGTCCATGCAAAAATGGAAGCTATACTATTTGTGCTGGTTTCTTGTCCCTTCTGGTGCAGCCGAAAGTGGCGAGTCACAGTTCCATGAGCTGCTTCAGATTCTAAAGTCTTGCCATCAGAGGATAACTGCAGAGAACAGCCGGCGGCTCACATTTTTGTTTAAAAGGAATCCAACAGATATATGATAGATATATGATGTTGTGGTGTGAAGTCACTAACCAAAACAGAAGTCATAAGGCCCAGAGAACCGAAACCTGCATTGGAAAATGGGCGAGAGAATTATGATTAGTAATGCATTATTAATTATTTAGAATTTTAGATCATACCCACGGATCAAATTTATTCACCTTGAGCAAGTAAATCACTCTGCACGTCTCCGTCATAGTTTTTGCAAGCCCAAACATAACCACCGTCACTTTTTACGGCATAAGCAACCATATCATCTATTAACCGGTGCTCATACCTAATGTCACACACACCATTCTCAATATAAGTACTTAAAATGACTGATAGTTTTAATTTTCACCGAAGCCTGTGACAACTGACAACCATACGGGCATAAACTAACCATATTGAGTGTTCCTCAAACTTTGCCTTCCATTTCTCCTGGTATACCTCTTCGAAGATGTCCTTGAACCTAGTGCAAATATTGAAAACCAAATGTTAACATCGGTTGCTTGGTTCACAAAGATATGTAAATAATGCTAGTATATTAGAAAAACAAACAGATTAAGAAGTTATAACTAATCCTTTGTAGCATTTCATTTCATTGAAGATTAATTTTGCAATAGGGTCTTAGAGATGGAAAAAAGGGGAAAAAAGTACTCGTATCTTGATTTTTATAAGCCCACACATATTGTCAACCACAAAATTCCTCTAAAATGACACTTATTATGAACCAAAGGGAGTATGCGACAATGACTCTGTTCGTATCAGGTAATAGAAAGTTACCCATCTTAGAGGGTAAATATAAATCAATGCTTACCTTCCGTCATATTTCTTCAGAATTGTATTTTTTGTGCTCAAGTACAGGGGCCATTTCTTTGAAAATGCCATTGACATCGATGACTCAGCAAATGCACGAATTGACTAGCAAATTGCACCACCAAAGACAAGAGGAGAAAAGGTCAATTTCTAGAAAAGAAAGAGCACAAAATAAAACTCAAAAATATGGCTGCATACCTGATCAACATTGTACATAGCAAGGGCAACCCCAGGGCCTTTGAAATCATATACATCGAGTTCCACCGGTGCTTCCCCATTTTCTGGAGCTGGTGACATGCAATAATGAGGAAAAATGTTAGAGAACGTATTTACACATAAAACTCCATAATAAGAAGTATGCAATAAGTATGTAATCACATTAACTCACCAAAAATCATTTTGAGCTTTCCTGCTCCTTTAATGATAGTGTCAGTGGCACGATATTGATCTCCAAATGCATGCCTGCCAATACAAATGGGTTTCTTCCAACCTGCAAAATTGAGAGATAAACTACAGCCAGAAAAGGTATCACGTCATCAGTGAATTGCACTCTGCTGGATAACACAACATTACCAGGAACTAGTCTGGGAATGTTCTTACAAAGGATAGGCTCTCGGAAAACAGTACCTGAAGGAAGTAAAAATCATATTGGAAACAAGTATTTATAAACAAAGACATTCTCAAAAGAACCAAGTCAGAAATAGTTAATGTAATTAGCAGATCGTAGAATGATTTTTTCCTCAGATTTTGGTTACTTGAACTCAATGTTTGGTGTGGAGGTATACACTTCTCAAATCTTTCCAGTGGCCTCGAACCTATGATATCACAAGCTACATAGGTTTGATATTAAGATTTACAATGCCACAGAAGAATCATAGACATTGATGGATCTAGGATCTAGAGTAAAAAGAGAGAGCTAAAAGAGAGAAAGCTCAACCCAATTGCTTGAATGCTTGGAAATCTGATCCAACACATTGAAGGGGGTATATATAGGTTCATATACATGACACGTGGACGGGCTGGGCCGATTCATGGAGCTGGATCGGGCTCAAAGGTGGTACAGCCTGAGGGCATAGCCCAGTGCACACTACCATTCTAAATAATTAAACCTAGCTTAGGGGGGAAGAAACGTGAACGGGCCGGGGTCCTGGATTTGGTGAGCTTGTGTGCAGAGAATGCTGGTGAGGCCGAGCTCATGAACTGCTCGCAGAAGGCTGATGTTAGCCTCAGCATTTCAAGGCCGAGCTTGGTCCCAGGGCCAGGAGTGTTATATGCCCCACTCCCATTCTGAGTTGCCTAGTGGACATTGGTTTCTTGATACAAGCCCATAGAGCATAGGCCCAGGATCCAAGCCCAACATACCCATTAGATATGCCTCAAGTGTTTCTAAATGCAACAATGTGGAATCCTAGAAATTGGAGACATACATACCATTCAAAATGTTTCTTATTGTGCCATTGGGACTCCTCCACATAGACTTCAGTCCAAATTCCTTGACCCTGGTCTCATCTGAAGCAGCAGGTGTGAGTTCAAAATGAAGAAAAAATGTTCAGCCGACATCTAAAAATCAAATCTTACAACAGAACACCATCTAATCTACACAATGATTTGTCAAAATTGCATCCTGAAAGATATGCCGCAATAGTTTCTAAATTCCAGTGAAGTGTATGCAACAATTTCCACATCATCAGCAAATTCCTGTGATGTATAGCAATTTCTTTTTTATACTCCGTACATACTTCGTATCGCATATATCTAAAAACTAATACAAAACATGAAATGGGTACTGACCTGGAGTAATTGTTGCACATTTGATAGCAACATTATACCTACATCATACATGAGATATGGCTCAAATTATATGGAATACTCCGTAATATATTATTCATGTTCTGAAGACTTATGAAGCACTGTATTATTTAGGTTAGGTACAATTTCCTCTAATCGGCCAGTCAATCAAAAACTCCATATGATATACTCCGTACCATTATATCACATAGCACCTTTGGGAGAGTTTGCAGTTTCAACACCCCGGATGAACTAAGAAAAGTGATGGGCAGACTTACTTAAGAGTAGCTTCAGCACTTTCCACAGTAACCTTGTCATCGGTGGCATCACGGTTCAGTATTCCCAGATCATAATACTTTATATCTAATTCTAGATGGGGAAATATCAGCTGCAAGGATACACAAAATACCCAATGAGCAAAGAATCAATGGACCCTAAAAAACAATCAACGCAAAACGAACTTGAAAACTACAGCATTTTAGTCTAATAAATGTCCGTACCTTATCCTTGATCATGCTCCAAATTACTCTCGTCATTTCATCACCTGCAGCCATTCGATAAATAATAAAAAAATTCAAAAAATGGAGACATTCAATACAAGTACTAGCACTTGATCATTTCTGAATCGGAAAATTTACCGTCCATTTCAACAATAGGGTTTTGGACACGAATTTTGTTCTCGGTTTGGATTGGAGCGATACCGGCAGCTGGGGATGCGAAGCACCGAAAGCTGACATTTGACGGGATTGAATAAGGTAACGAGATGCGATTCCTGAAGGAAAACTGATTGAGTAACTTGGAGGTAGAAGAGACTGTTAATGGATTCTTGGGAGCTATGGACGACGACAGCGCAGAAGAAGCTCTGGCCATGGAAGAGATCATTGTTGTTACACTTTACTGCAGCAATCCCGCTGCCTGGCTTTTTCATACTCACAGTCAAGCCTTCTGTGAATGTCGGCCCATATGCCCTAAATTTGGGTTCTCAAATTGGGCCCAAATTGATCCCCCGGACCCATATGCCCTAAATTTGGGCTCTCAAATTGGGCCCATATATTACATTTTTTGACATTCTATTTTAAGTGCTAAACACTCCTTATAATAGGGAGTATGCTCTGTAGTTGTTTGGAGTGTAAATTCCATAAAAGGTCCCCAGTTATAGGTCGTTTTACATATTTAGTCCCTACATATCAAATATTACTAATTTAGTCCCCAATTATTATATTTATTTTCACGAATGGTCCTTTGTTAACATTTGCGTTAAAAACGTGGACAAAATTGTTTATTCATACTTCTCTCTCTCCTCAATTAAGCTTCCTTCATCTTTTCATACTCTTTCTCAAACTCGTCGTTGAGTTTGAAGCTCTTAAATCCAAAACTTAAATGATCATTCCTCCATTTACACAAACAATTGAGAGAAGAGTGATGATTTTGGTTTAGGGTTCAAAGCTAGAAACTCAGCGGCGAGTTTGGGAAAGGAGTGCAAGAGAGGAAGAAGCTTAATTGAGGAGAGAAAGGAGTGTGAATTTGAAATTTTATCCACGTTCTTAACGAAAATGTTAACAAAGGACCATTCGTGGAAATGAATATAATAATTAGGGACTAAATTAGTAATATTTGATATGTAGGGACTAAATATGTAAAACGACCTATAACTGGGGATCTTTTATGGAATTTACTCTTGTTTGGACTTAACTAGCTTTTTAAATGGTACGGATTTATTGAGTTACTCCCAAATGTAAAAGAATATAAATTTTGTAGTTTGTACAATACAAGTGTATAGAAGAATTTGAACGTGTGCTACCGAACACGGATAATCTTGAATTTTTGCCTTCTTCACACTCAGATTATCAATCGTCTAAAATTATCCTCTAGTAATATCGCCAAATGATAGTGTCACGATTAAAGACGATGACTCGAAGAGGTCATCGTCTTTCATCGTCACGCCTAAAAAAAATTCAGATATGACACTAGTTGAGGTTGCTAATGGTCTTAAATTTAAAATACGACCTTGCATCTCAAATTTATAAACCCCAATTTTTTATTGATTAAATCAACACACACTAAATTGAGTAATGTTAGGGGTACACAAAAGTGTTTGTGTATCCTATTTGTACATCATCGCTCTTCTTGCGACACATTCTTTATCTATTCTCCAATTTTTTATTTACACTCAATTTTGTGTGGTGGAGAAAGTGTAGTGTACATTTAGGGTATACTTTTATATCAATAAAGAGGAATTTTATACCACTTTACACATCAACCATAAACAGGTACACATATATCGGTGCGAGACATAGACATGTGTCTCTATTTGCCTATATACAAAGTACTAGTGTACATGTTGAAGTACCTCAAGTTTTATTACGGATAAAACTATTTGTACCCAATTTTGTACACCATAGGTTTGCACCGACATTTTTGTTTTGGTGTAAAATTAATTTTTGTTAACGCACCAACACTTTGTGTCCGTGTAAATTTTTTTTAACGCACCAACACTTGTGTCGGTGTAAACTATCAAAATGTTTGTGTATAACTGCGGTGTACAAATGGATACAATTTTTGGTGTAAGTGTAGCATGACCCTTTATGTGCGAGAGCTTTTGGTACAATACAAGTGTATAGCCCAGGAAGAGACACTCTGTCTTCTTTAAAAGGCTTGCCTCTATATGTGCGAGAGCTTTTGGTGCAAAAGCTTGGTGACCATAATTCCTCCTTGGAAGTGGCTATGCAATAGTTTTGTATTGGCCATAATCTCTGTCCGAGTAAGGTTTATGATTTTCTTAGGGACAAGTCCAATCCCAAGCCTTGGATGGCTTTCATATGGCATTCTCTAATTCCTCCTAAGTGCTCCTTTACGATGTGGCTGGCGCTTAGGGGGAGACTTCCTATCAAGACCAATTTGGAATTCCTTGGTCTTCCTATGGAGTGTGAGCTTTGTGGAGATGGAGTCGAGGACATTAGCCACCTCTTCTTTGGATGCTGTGTGTCAAAGCAAATCTGGGGAGCCATTAGGCATTGACTACGGATTGATGCCTAACTGACAACCTTGGACAGAGCCATCAGGTGGTTGAGGACGGCTAGACGAGGAGACCCTATCCTAAAGAAGACACGGAGGATAGGGTTGGCATGCACCATATTCCTCATCTGGAAACAGCGTAATGCCTTCCATTTTGAGCGCAAGCCTCTTAATATTGATAGTGTGATTTGTAATATCAAAACTATGGTTTATTGTGTTTTAGGCCGTGCGTGACCAAATGTTCATCTTACTTTTTAGTTTGGGTTAGCCTGCGTGCCTTGGTTTTGGGGTTGGTTTTCCCCTTTTATGTATGAAGGTGTCCCGTTGAGGTGCTTGATGTAGTGGAAGGGTTGCTCCCATTCCTAGCTCGGGTATGCCCATTCTATGTATATTCCTATTCTCTTTCTATTTACATTTTCCACAAGAGTAAAACGTTCAAGTTCAAACGGGATTTAAGCTGGCCTAGCAGACACATGGGCCATAACCGGGTATAGATTTGGTCCATTAAGGGGAAGAAAAAAAACAAACAAAAAAGACCTGAAGAGCCCTAGCCACATAGGATCCAGGCTCGGACTCGCTCCGTTCATCTGCGGCCCGCCCGTCACCACCGCATTTGACGGCTTCTCCACCGAACAACACTCCGGCGTCTTTAACTCAGCTAGTCTTGTTTGCATCCTTCTCCTGCCGGTAAAGGCTTCGCTCTAAACTCCGCTGCGTGTTCCCGTTATATCTAGGTGCATCCAGGCCGTCTCTGAGGCATTTGAGCTTGTATACGGTTGAGCTTATCATTCACCTATTCCGGCTGTTCGCCACGACATTTCTCTTCAGGTTTGGCGCCTACCTTCTTCATCGTGGTTTAAAACGCAAATCTATTATTTGATCTTCCCTGGCAAGTTGAGAAATGAAACTCCACCAATTTTGAAATTATAAAAGGCTCTATATGATTAGAGAGAGTACCTGGACGCAGTATAATCATTTGACTAATCTCCATTGTTTGAGTAGTCTGTGCTTAATTGTTCACTACATTCATTCTATGCACTTAGGTACACGTGTAATCTCTTCTCCGAAATAGAAAAGTGGAGAAGTGTTATTCGTCCTCTGCAATGCTTTATTTCCGTTGTTCTCTGGTCTTCTGATTCATATATGAAATTTGTCTTTCAGGCTGTGCACTTATTGCTGAATTGACAATTGCTACTAATGGAGCTTAAGATTTTACCGCTAAGGCCACCCTTTTCACTTTCTAATAGTAGTGACAGTGATCCTGGAGAAAAACAAATCAGTGAAGAGGACGATGATGATCGTAATCATAAGCACCGTAGGAAGGAGACCCATTTTCGAACTGCCGAGATGGATCATTATGAATCAGTTTTGATCAGACCTTATGGGAAACGGAACAAGCCCTTTGATGATGGATACCTTGACAGGGAGACTGGTCCTGCCACTTTAGAAAAAGAACATATATTGAGATTTGACAAGAGACGGGGCGTGCCCTCGTTTTCCAGAGCATCCCAAGTTGCAAACCAAAGAACGATATCATCACGTATAGGGAGAGGAAGGGAAATGGGTGGTTGGGCCCAACATGATTTGAGGTTGATGCCAGTCGACACTGCACCTCAACTGATTCAACAGGGATCCACTGTACCTAGTTTTTTAGCTGGAAAGGGCTTGCCGAATGTTCATGATACAAAAAGTTCATCTTGGGCTACGGTTGGAATGATTCCTCATGTCCCTAATGTTGGCCTTGATATATTCCATCACCGTGGTTTACCACTGAATCCCTCAATGGGTATGGGATTTCCACGGCAAAAATGCAGAGATTTTGAGGAACGTGGATTTTGCCTACGAGGAGACATGTGCCCAATGGAACATGGAGTCAATCGAATTGTT